CAGAAGGGGGAGGAGGTGGGGCGGGACTCCGCGAGCGGCGACGGCTCCGCTTCCGCAGGCTTGCGGCTGCGGCTGTCGCCGGAGGAGGAGCTGAAGAGGAGGACGCCCGCCCCCACCCGCCTGAGAGCAGTGGCAGGGCGTCGCTCTTCCACCAGGGGCGGAGCAGCTACACCTACGGTCGGGAACTTTTGGATAGCGTGTCGTTCCGTCGGCTCTGGCCCACCACGCTTCGGCGCGACACGCTATCTACGTCCTGAACCCCAGGCTTCAACGTCCCGAGCCTTTCTCAGCCTCTCGGCCCTGGGAGCGGAGCGACACGCCATCCGCCCGCAAGGCATAGCGTGTCGCCAGGGCTGCCGCGGCGACACGCTAAGCAAATGTTCCGACCGTACCCCGGTCCCCCCAACAGAGAAGGAGGGGAGAGGGGGCAGGGGTCAAGCGGGGAGGGCCAGGCGGGCGAATGGATTTTCACCCCGATCTTCTCCCATTTTGCCCCCCCCCCCCCCCCCCGCTCCGTCCGCCCACCCCCTGCCCCACACTTGCCTCTGCCCCTTGCTCTGGTCGACCTCCACTGCTCATCCATCCTGCCCCCCTCGTCTCCTCTGCCCCGCTCCGGATTCAGACACGATGTGCCCCATGTTCGCCTCTTTTTCTCCTCGTTTCCTCACTCGCTCAGAACAACGTAGAATCAGAGGCACCGTACAGAGAAGATGTATGAGTGGATTGAAGAGTCCCGCGGGCTTGGAAACATGTGGAAATCTATCCCATCAGAGGGGGAGCTCGTTCTGTGTATCGGCTGCGCTGCCCGCTATTGCTTGTTCGGCTATCCCCGATGCCTCTTCCCTGACATGCTCCATACCTTCCCGTTCGCCTCGCCGTCGTTCCTTGTCTTCTTGGGGGGGAGTTCGTGCCTTGTGTTCTTCGGCAAACCCAAGGCGTACCTAAGCAGTGTGACAACAATAGAGCCGAATTCCTGCAGCATGGGAAGGAGCAGTTATTGACAGTAGTCATACGGCCATCCCGAAGTTTTGTAAATCACTCTTCCTCCAGACAGGCTCCCTCTCATGAGCTCCCACAGACGCTTTTGGGTTCGAGGGTCAAACGATGGGGAAGTTGTCAGCAGGCAGCAGCAACAGAGGCTATGCGAAGCGAGGTCGCCCCCACCAGAGGATCGTTCCAAATTGTTCGTGTGTGCGTGTGTGTGTGTGTGTGTGCTCAATGCTTGCCGCAGCCTTTTGGCGCAAGCCGCTCTGGCTCGAAGTTGGCAGGCGCGGCCTGGGGGCGGGAGTCCGCCTTGGACTTCGGCCAGCCTGAGGGGCGCTGAGAGTGCCGCCTCCTCTCGGCGGCCCTCTCTGGACTTCGGGCCGCCTCCTCTCGGCGCCCCTCTCCTCGGTGTCATGGAGTCTCCCTCGGCCCGGCGGCGGCGGCGGCAGCGCGTTGCCGCGTGGGCCGCCCGTGCCGCGGGGCCCGACCGCGCTGCTGGAACCGTTGGCGTCGCCGGCGTCGCGGGCGCTGCGGGAGCCGCGGGCGCCGCGGGCTCCGAGGGCGCCACTGTCGCCGCGGGCGCCGCTGGCGCGCCCCGCGCCGCGGCTCCGGGCGCCGTGGCGCCTCGGGGTCACTCAGGCCATTGGATTGCGCAGGCGGATGAGCACTCTCGCCGCTGCTGCGTTGGCCTCGACCCGCATCGCCTCCCGGCCGATATCCTTCTCGGCTTCCTCCGCCGAGTCGGGCTGGGCCCCCCCAACCCCGAGCCGGCGCTGCCTGGCCGACCTCCGCCGCCTGACCCGCCCCCCCGGCGGCCGTCGCCACCGCTGCAAAGTGTGGCGGTGGGCCTCCGGGCCGACGACGCGGCGTCGCCTCCGCCGCCGGGAGGCCGCCGGCGAGGATGCTTGCGCCCGGCGCGGGGTGACATCACACGTCGCCCCGCCCCGCCCCAGCCAAGCCTGCAGCTCGTGGCGGCGACGCTCGCGGCCCGGTGGCCGTTGGTGATCCCGCTTGGCGCCGTTGCTCCTCCTCGTGGGGCCGCGCAGGCTCAGCGCGCCCGCAAGGTCAGGGTTCTCCGGGGGAGGGCACGCTGGGCGCTCCCCACCCTTTGGCCGAGGAGTCTCGCAGCTGCGTGGCGACTGGAGGCGGCGACGCCCGCGGCCTTCTGGCTGGGCGGTCTCTTGCCGCTACTGCTCCTCTCTGGGGCTCCATGCGGCGCGCTCAAAGGTCAGACGGTTGAGGGAAGGAATTGGTTAAGCGACACTCTCCCCCTCCCCCGCAATTCAAGATTGGCACGTTCCTTGAAGTCCGCTCGGAGGCCCCGAATCGTAAGATCCGAAACCAACATTGCACGTGGGGGCATGGAGGGAGTTCAAACCAGACGTTCTGCATGAGTGTTGCTTAATTGTTTCCGACACCTGGAGTTCTCCGACCTTGGGGGACACGTCTGGCTCGCTGAGGGGTCTCCCAGCTGTATGGGGGTTGTCCAACTGGCCCTATTCGACCACGGTAGGTGTCCAAGCAGTGTGCGCGTCCCCTCTTGGTGCTGTGCGTCGCTCCCCCGCGGGAGGGGTTCCCCCCGCAGGATGGCAGGGGCGACGTGCAGCTCTCCCTTGCAAAGTCCTCGCAAGCTCTCCCTCACGCGGCGGTCACTCGTCAGTGGGGTGCCCCTGCCGCTTCTTCTGGCGCCGCCCCCGCTTGCACTGCATCCCTCCACGATGCGCCCCACGAGCGGGCGACTGCGACGACCGCCTGCCAGCAGCGGCGCGCCGGCCTGGCACCCCCCGACGCGTCTGAGGATCTTCCCAGCGCGCTGGCGTCCCCGTCGCTGCCTGTGCGACCTCCTCGCGGTGCCGCCCCCTCCGCACCCCTCACCGCATGTCATCGCATGTCCCGCAGGAGGCGCAGTCCCAACCCGTGCGGGAACTCCGCGACAGGGCGCCACCGTGCGCCCGCCTCGCTGCCCGCGGGGTGCACCGCCACCGCGCGGGAGGGTTTCCCTCGCTGCGGCCCCCGCGACTACGCCATGCAGGAGCGCCACGCCGGGAGCTCTCTCGTGGCGGCCCCGTGCCCTGCCCATCGCACGCCTGGTCCAGCTGGAGGAGGCTCCGCCCTTCTGGTGGGACGCAGGATGACCCGCCACCCCTCCTCTAGTGGCCACGCCATCCCCCGCCTGGGGATTGCGGTGGTGCCAGGGCCGGGGCCGGACAGCGGCGCGTCGGGCCTCGACCTCCGGGACACCCAGCACCATTCGCTCCATGGTGCATCACATGGCTGTCACGGAGCCGCACGCAGTAGACAGGCCCGGGAGCCCCTTTCCCGCTCAGGCCAGCGGAAGGATTCCCTTCCGCTCGTGCCTCAGTGTGAGGTTGAGAAGCACTCGGCTGCGGACCCGCCCACCATGGCTGGAGGGTCCTCCCCGCCACGGGTCCGCCACAGTCAGAGTGCTCAGGGGCCGCAGCGCTCCGCGGCCCCCCCTGCCGTCCCCCAGGGGACGGCCCTCCACACCTACATACCGTGGGCGATGCCCGGCACAGGGGGCTCCCTACTCTTGTGTCGGGCGCGCGGCCCCGTGTGGGCCACGCATTGCCTCCTCCCCCCCCTTCCTCAGGGCCAGCCTGCATCGCCACTCTCCTCAACAGGTGGCGAGGGGTGGCACTTCCCCAAGCGGGTGCCCCTGTGGTGCCTCTCGCCCATTTCACCGCACAGGGGGGCCCTGGTTCGCCCGGCGTCCTGCTCTTCTTGGCCTTTCCGTGGTCGCCGACTGCCGGCCTGTGTGCTCTTCTCTGTGCTGCCTGCATGCGCTGGCCCTCACTCCTCCTTCCCACTGGTAGCCCGCCGTCTTGTCCGATGGCTGCCCTGTTCCTGGTCCTCGTCCGCTGGTCTGATGTACTGCTTGTGACTGGCCCACCTCACTTGACGTCTCGTCGCTACCGCTTGGCCGCACTGCGCACCCATTTGCCTGCCTCTCTGGCATGCTTCACAGCCACACGCAAAGGGGGGTACGGGGGAGGGGGGAAGACTTCTCAGATACATCCCTGGTTACTTCTTAGAGGCCGCGGGCCTTCTCTATAGATCTAGGGCTGGCGCCTTCTAATAAGCAGGCTCACCCCTCCCCCTATCCCCTTGTGCGCGCCGCCATACTTCTTAGAGGTCGCGGGCCTTATCTATAGATCTAGGGCTGGCGCCTGGTACGAAGCAGGCTCACCCCTCCCCCTATTCCTTTGTGCGCGCCGCCAAACCTTCTCGGAGAGAAGGGGGCCCAGACATGCTCGCGTCGTGGAAACATGCTCCTCCTCCTCCTCCTCCTCCTCCTCCTCCTCCTCCTCCTCCTTCTCCTCCTTCACCCTCGCTGCCCATGCCTGGTTATGCGCATGGCAAGGCCCAGCCTGTGCGGATCCCTGCCCCATGTTCTGAGGTAGCTGGCCGGCCGCGCGCTTACTGGTTGCCCGGGAGCTTTCTCCGCCTCGCCGCTGCGCGCTGGGCCGCGATCGCCAAAGCGTGTGCTCAATGCTTGTGGGGGAGCGAGGGGGAGCGAGGAGTGAGGAGTGGATAGTGTAGGGGAGGAGGAGGAGGAGGAGGAGGAGGAGGAGGAGGAGGAGGAGGAGGAGGAGGAGGAGGAGGAGGAGGAGAGGAGGAGGAGGGAGGAGAGGGGGAGGAGGAGGGGGAGAAGAGAGAGGAGGAGGAGAGGGAGGAGGAGAGGAGGAAGAGAGGAGGCGAGGAGGAGGGAGGAAGGAGAAGGAAGGAAGGAAGGAAGGAAGGAAGGAAGGAAGGAAGGAAGGAAGGAAGGGAGTAGGAGCAGGAGGAGGAGGAGGAGCAGGAAGAGGAGGAGGAGGAGGAGGAGGAGGAGGAGGAGGAGAAGGAAGGAAGGAAGGAAGGAAGGAAGGAAGGAAGGAAGGAAGGAAGGAAGGAAGGAAGGGAGGGAGGGAGGGAGGGAGGGAGGAGGAGGAGGAGGAGGAAAGCACGGAGCTGTCTCCCCCTCGGCTGCCCTCCCTCTTCCGCCCTCGACCTGGCAGGAAGCGCTCCGAAAGGTTTGCCGCCGGCGCGCGGCCAGAGCGGCCGCATGGAGATGGAGGCGCCTGGACAGGGCGACGACGACGACGACGACGACGATGACGACGACGACGACGACGACGACGACGACGACGACGACGACGACGACGACGACGACGACGCCGAGCACGGCGACGAAGGGCCCCGCGGCATGGTGAGCTCGGTCGCCACACATGGAGGCGTCTGGACAGGGCGACGGCGGGGAGGGCTGGGCGGACTGCCTGGGGATGAGGAGTTCGAGGCGGATAATTTCGGCCACGCGCAGAGGGGGGTAGGGGGAGGGGGGAAGGCTTCTCAGAAGCACCCATGCTTCTTGGGGAGGGCGCTGGCCTTATCTGTAGATAAGGCCGGGGCCTTTTAACAAGCAGGGTGCTTCTAAGAAGCTTTCCCCCCTCCCCCTACCCCCTTTTGCGCGCCGCCATCATTTGTACCATCGCCTGGAGGATCGATTTCCGCGGACCTCCACAGGTGGCGGATATGGAGATATTGTTGGCCCCTGGAGGCCAAACTGCATCCACATCTACCGCCCGCTGGGTCCCCAGGACGTCGCTTCCCAGGCGGTGGACGTGGATAACTCCCCGCCTCGCAGGGGGCAGGAGAGAGAGAGAGAGAGAGAAAACAAAAAAAACAAAAACAAAAAAAAAAAAAAAAAAAAAACGGAGGAGGGGCAGCAGCACGAGAAGGAGGCAGCAGGATGGCTAGGACGACCGCCCTTGGCCCTGTGGTGGAGCACAAGCATGAGGGAGGCCTGCGGAAGGCATGTGCGACGACGACGACGACGACGACGATGACGACGACGACGACGATGACGACGACGACGACGACGACGACGACAACGACGACGACCACGACGCCGAGCACGACGCTGAGCACGACGCTGAGCACGACGCCGACAAAGAGCACGACGCCGAGCACGACGCCGGTATTCGATGGTCTGGGACACTGCAAGGCTCGAGGAAGAAGAAACAGCATAAACTTGGGGCGCTCCGCGCAGATATCCTGGATCTGCGCTGGGCCCCCCGGGCGGCGCCTCCGGCGCCGCCCCTGGCGCGCTCCGCGCGCCTGGGAGGGGGGGGTCCAGCGCGGTTTTAAGAAATCTGTGCGAAGCGCCAAAAGTCTATGTTTAGGCCGTTTTCTTTTCTTTTCTTTTCTTTTCTTCTTCTTCTTCTTCTAGGGACACTGCAAGGCGGTCCCGCCGGCCCTGAGAAGTGCACAGCTTGGGGCCGCATTCGGCGAAAGGGCTCTGGTGGCAAGGGGCAGTGACTGCTTCCGTGCGAGGGCGACAGTTAAATGTCCCTCGACGCAGACCCGCTACTGCCCCGGGATCGCGCTCCAGACGCCCTGGGGACACGTTGGGGGATTTTGGGTGGGCTTCTTGTGGGGCTCCTGGAGGCCTTTGTGGCCCACTTGGGTGTGTCTTGGGACCTCTTTTCCTCTTGGGCCTCTTGGGGTGTCAGCGATTCTCAGTCAACACGCCTAGTAGAGACGCGCGCCTTCATTTAGGGTACCCTTGTGTCCTTGCCTCTGTTGCCCGTCCTTTGCCGTTTCCACTGGTCGCCCGCAGACCACCAAAAATCCCAACTTCGACTTCTTGCGTCCTTACCATTCGTCCTTCGTACACATTTTGATTGTAACAGTGGCGTGCCGTTTGGGCCCCTTTGGAGCCGTCTTTGGAGCCTCCAGGGCCCCATTTGGGGCCGATGCGGCGGGAATGTTCGGATCACAACGAAAGCCTAATTGGCATCGCTCGGACGTTTTTTTTTTTCGCGGCGAGGACCATCGAGGAACATCCTGAAACATGTCACACAGCGTCAGCACACGAAATCGACACGTGCACGGGGAATGGACGCCCGAGCCACGGCAAGGTTCAGATCACACAAAAAGGAAGGGATTCGGCCGCGTTGCGCCTCTTGGGCCAGCCCTGTGATCTCCAAGACGGCCTGCGAGACTCCCGAGCCCACGCGTGCCGAGGTTGGCTCCAAGCGGGCCTGGTGGGCTCAAAAATTGACAAAATTTGGCCCCGAGATCGCCCGAGTCACTCCAGGAGGGTGGGGGCGGCGGGGAGGCGCATTCCGCCTCCTCGATTGCGATTTGGGTTGACTCAATTCGGGCTGGCGAGCTTGGCCAGCCCCAGGTGGCAACAGGGAAAGGGGTGGAGAGCTTCGAATGGAAAAGTTCCTCACAGGACCACCCCTGCACGACCCACCCCAGGACTCCCCTGACACACGCCGACAGGGTCGGCGGAGTTGATGCTTTATCCCACTGGGCTTGGCCTAAGGGCCCCTCAGACGGTTGAGGGAAACAAAGAACAACACCCCCCCTTGCTCCGCAAATAGCAACACTCCCCACTACCGCTCGGACACTCAAACACGGAAGATCCGAAACCAGCATTGCATTTGGGGCGAGAGGGAGCAGTTCAAAACATGTGTTACGCGTGAGTGTTCCTTAATTGTGTCCGACATTTGGATTTATTTATCCAGAGGGCTCAGTGGCCATTGGTGTGTCGACCCCGTGCCCTCTGGGGTCGCTCAGGGTTTCCAGTCTGTTGTGACGGTTGTGGGGTCGCCTGGGCTCCGGGTGTCAGGGCCTTCGGGGGCCTCCTCAGGGGCACCCAGGGAGCATCGCTTCGCAATGCAGTGCCGCGCGATCATGTGTCATCCGTTGGTATGCTTGATGACGCAATATCTTGCAATGCTATCTATGCGTTGCCGTGTTCTACACAGTGCAACACTATAGTATGCGATGTCGGCCCATGCCTCACAGCACTATGTTATACAACGGTCCGTTATCCCATGCAAGAGTTCACACTATTACTCAATGGCATGATGCAACGCCCGTTGTGATATGCCATGCTACGCTACATTATATATTACAATGATGATACGATATGTGATGCAGTGATGTGATGCGTGGTACACAATGACGGACTGCGCAATGCCATGCTAACTAAGCTACGCAATGCTGTGCCGCACTCTTCTATGACACACCATGCTACGCAGTATGTTTGGGCACCGCGCGCGCCCGTGGGGCGGTGGGGCGGGGAGGGGAGGGAGAGAAAAGGTGGAGGGGAGGAGCGCAGGAGGGGAGCGGGAGGAGGGGGGAGAGAGCAGGAGCGGCACAAGGAAGCGGGGAGGAGAAGCCGGATCAGGAACGGGAGCGGGAGGGGACGGGCGAAGGTGGAGGGGGAGGGCCCTGGCTGTCGTGTGCCAGCCACCCCACCGCCCCAGGAGGCCGCGCGGGCCGCGCCAGCGCAGAGGCAGTGGGGCAGCACGAAGATTGAGCCCCAGTCGACCGCCTCATTGCCCCCCTCTCGCCCCCCCTCGACCGCCCCTCCTCTCCCTCCCCCCCCATCTCTTCTCTGCGCCCTTCCTGGCTCCCTCCCCCCCAGCATGGCGCGGAAGTCGCTCCTCCCTGCAGCACCACCAGACGTGTCGTCATGGCGGTCCGGGCGGATCTTGAAGCTGGGAACTCCCGACAGCCACACGGATGGAGGGCGGGCCGTTTTCACATCAGAGCGGGGCTCTCGCTGTACGCCCGGGGGGCAGGGGACCCGCTCCTTTTCCCCTTTCCCCCGCTCGCCTCTCCTCTTGCTGCTCTCTCTTGCTGCGCGGCCTTCTCCCCCCCTCTTCCCCCGTCGTCGTCGTCGTTGTCGCCGTCGAGGTCGTCGTTGCCGCCGTCTTCGTCGTCGTCGTCGCTGTCGTCGTCGTCGTCGTCGTCGTCGTCGTCGTCGTCGTCGTCGTCGTCGTCGTCGTCGTCGTCGTCGGGCTTGTGCCCCCCCGCGGGAGTGGCGTCCAGGGCAGCAGCCTTTGCTTTCACTCGGCCTTTCGAATCACGATGGCTCGTCATTGCTCCAGGTCGGCGATTTGGTGCCCGAGTATGCGGCGAGAGCGCGCAGTTGCCCCCTGTCCTCTCCTCGTCCTCTTCCTTCCTTCGGCGGCGAGCGCGGGGGGAAGTGAGAAGGAGAAGGCCTTCTCAGAAGGCGGCGGGGCTTCTCAGAAGGCCTCGCGCCTTTGAGAAGCTTGCTGTGTCTTCGGGGAAGGCTTAGAAAACTTCTCAGAAAGGCCTGGGGACGTCCGAGCCTTCTGAGAAGGCCCGCCCTTTCTCACTTCCCCCTCGAGCGCGCCGCCTAAGTATTCCTCCTTCCCGGAATCGGTAGCTTCGATGCTATTGTTTGCATGATGGGCATTGTGCGGTGATGCTTGCGGCCGCTGCTGGCCGACCGTCAGTCGCTGTAGCCACCCAGACTCACTCTTGTTAGCCGCTGCGGAGCAGCGTCGCGTTTGCCGGGCGGCGAAGTGCCCGCCTCCAGTTTGAGCAGGTATGGTTGGCGTTTGCCTGCGCCCAACATTCGATTTCCACCTATTTGTCTCCTGTCGTCTTCCTCCTCCCCTCCCTCGTTGGTTCCTCCTCATTGGCATGTCAGGAATTCTGGGTATATGCCGGCAGTGTGTCATGTGTTGCATTGTGCTTCGGCTTCTTGATTGTTGTTGTGTGATGTTTGGTGATATGAATGGTGGCGTCGATCATGCGGCAATCCTCACACAACGCTTCACGTCCACCCGCTCTCCTTCCTCTCCTCATTCGCCGTCCTCCCCACTTGCGTTGGGCACCAGTGCAAGTCCCGCAAGTATGGACCAGTATGGGGCACGCACGCGCGAGTCTACATGTTTGCCGCAATGTAATTGAGACATCCGCGCGACGGACGTGGGAATCTGCCATTGCAGTCACCTTTTTCTGCGTGCTTCACTTCGGTTTTTGCATTTTCCGCCAGTAGTCGCAGACTGCACCGAGTGAGACAAGTGGCGCGCTGCTCATCAAAAAACATCAAAACATGGGTCCGTGCAACACTTTCACGAATCGTTCGCAGTAAAAAAGAACCCCTGTAGGGATTGATGAGTAGGGGGCTTGGCACGGGAGCGTGTACTGCAGCATCGTTGATACGTCATCGGTTTACCTTGGCCTTCTTCCTCTTCTGTTGCCCTGCATCCCTCCCTCCCTCCCTCCCTCCCCTCTACTCCCTCCCTCCCTCCCTCCCTCCCCTCTCCTCCCTCGATCGACCTCGCTCATCCTCGTCCTCCCCCGCCTCGCTCCTCCTCCTCCTCCTCGCTCCTCCTCCTAATCGCTCCTCCCCCTCCTCCTCATCCTCCCCATCATCATCATCATCATCATCATCATCATCATCATCATCATCATCATCATCATCATCATCATCATCATCATCATCATCATCATCATCATCATCATCATCATCATCATCATCATCATCATCATCATCATCTTCATCTTCATTTTCATCTTCATCTTCATCAGCATCATCATCAGCATCAGCATCAGCATCAGCAGCAGCATCAGCAGCAGCATCATCATCATCAGCAGCGGCATCAGCATCAGCATCATCGTCATCCTCATCATCATAATCAGCATCATCATCACCATCATCAGCATCACCACCATCATCACCACCATCATCATAATGATCATCATCATCAGCGGCAGCAGCATCATCAGCATCCTCCTCATCATCGTCCTTTCTTTATCCTGCTCCTCCGCTTCTTCCTCGTCCTCCTTTCTCCTCCTTCGCATCCCCCTCCTCCTCCTCCTCCTCGCTCCTCCTCCTCATCCTCCTCCTCCTTCCTGCTGTGCTTCTTCTTTGGACCACCACCCTTAAGATCAATAACCCTTGGACCCACTTGCTCTCCTCCTCATCGGTCCTGCTGCGCTCCTTCTTTGTACCACCACCCTTGAGTTCGATTGCCCTTTGGGATCCCTCTTGGACCCCCTGGCTCTGTCCGGGGGGCCCCGAAGGCGGCGGCGCCAGAGCGCGCGGGCCGCGGCAGCGACGAGGCGGAGCGGAGGCGGCTGCGGCAGCAGCGGTTCCAGCGGGACCCCGCGGGGTCAGCCGCCGCGGCCTTTGCGCAGCCCGATTGGATCAAGGGGCAGCAGGTGGCCCACGAGGTAGGGCCGCCTGCGATCAGATTCGATGCGACCCGATTCGCTGGCTGGGGCCGCGATTCCAATTCGGTTCGACGCGGTTCACTGTCATCGGCTGGGCCGAACCGCCGGAGCCAGGCTCGGCGATCCGATCCCGATGCGATTCGGGGCCATCCGCTGTCGATGCGGTTCGCCGTCGATGCGACCGGGTCTTGCGACCCGATTCGGCTCAGTGCTGCGAGGGGCCTCTCCGTCCTCTGCCTCGCGCGGCGGCGCACCGCGCCGAGCGGCATCAACACCGCGTCCTGCGGGCCATCGGGCCGCCCCTGTCGCTGCCACCAGGCGCACCCGCTGGAGGCGGGGAGGGTGGCATTTTGCTGAATGGGCCTCTCAAGCTCTCCGCCGCCTCAAGCGGTGTGCGTTGAGAGCAGGGGCGCAGCAAAGGCAGCCACTGGGAAGGGTGGCATTGACTGTGTAGCTCCCTCCCCGCACGTGTCGAACGCTCTAGCGAGCAAGAACACAGAAAAGCCCCAGTACAGCCAGGCACCGACAGGGCACAGCGAAGACATCCACAGGGAAGGGTTTGCATTGACAGTGTAGCTCCGCACACGTGTCGAATGCTCTAGCGAGGAAGAACACAGCAAAGCCCCAGGACAGCTGGGCACTGACAGTGCAGCTCAGCATCAAAACACAGTGGCCGCGGAGCACCCGCGGCCTGCGGGCCATCGGGCCTCCCCTGTCGCTGACACCGGGCGCTCCCACTGGAGGGAGGAAGGGAAGGAAGGAGCAGGGGTGTTCACGATTCGGTCGGTTCGGTTCGGTTCGGTCGGTTATCGTGTCGTTGCCGCGTCGCTGCGCCCTTCTAGGCTGCTGTAGGCCGTTTCGGTGGTGCTGTCGGTTCGGTCGGTTTCCGGTCGGTTTTCGGCTTTGTTGTCGCCCTGCACGGCCTTGGGGAGGGAGGGCGTCGCTCTAATGCCATCCCGAGTGGTTTCCGTCACCTCTGCGGTCGGGAATTTTTGGATGCAGTGGGGGCCCATGCCAAGAAACACCCTGCTTGCCTCCAGGGTGCCCTGGGTTTCTTGGGTTCCGATGGTTTTGCCATGGAAAGCGTGGCGTTCCCACACAAAAAATCGATGGCTCAGGGTTGGGTTTCTTGTGGAAGCTTTCTTGTGGTGGGGCCGCCGCAGCCTCACGCCGAGCAAAAGTTCGCGACCGTAGCCGCCAGTTCTACTTTTGTCTTCTCCTCTTGTCCTTCTCGCTGCGGCCACTTGTACCCGAGCCTGCGTCGTTGTATCGGCGCGTTCCCGCAGAGGACGGGCGCCAGTCTGACGGAAAGCAGTCGTTCTCATGACTTCTTGCACGTGGTCAGAGGTTCGAAATTCTAGACGCTTCGCGTATCCCCACCAGCCCGTCCAGAAACGACGCCCAGGCGAGTAGAGGGTCGTCCTGAGGGGCTTTTCGGCGTCTTGGGTGCCTCGGGGGGGCCTCTTTGGGCCGTTTGGGATCCTCTTGGGGGCCTCCTGGGGGCCTCTTGGGGCCATCTTGGGGCCATCTTGGGGCCTCTTGGTGCCTCCTGGGCGCTTCTTGGGGCCATCTTGGAGGAAATCGATCAAAGAAGAGGGGAGCTTCAATTAGCGCTGCCCCCTCAGAAGGCCAAAATGGGGCCAAAACCTTAGTAAAATCAATGATTTTGGCTTCCTCGGCGAGGCCGTTTTGGACGCTCTGACCGCTCCCCGCCCCCCCTGTCCAGGTCAGTGGGGAGGGGGTAGGGGGAGGGGTAGACCCCTCCCCGAAAGGGAAGAAGGAGGGGTGGAAGAGGAAACTCGTTAAAACACCGACGCCCTAAAGGGCTGGTGGGATTCGACGACTAGCCCAAGCTCATTAGCAAGATCGTCTGAAAGGCAAGCCAAATCCTTGACGCTTCGCGTATCCCCACCGGTGGTGCTGAGACCCCCCCCTCCCTGTTCCGGCCGTGGTCCGTGCTGCTCGTGGTCCTGCTCAGCACCCCCAGCGACGGTTACCACGGCTCAGGAGGGGCACGTGGTGTGTGTTGGCGCTAGGGCCCAGGGGAAGCGCAATGCGACAGTCTGGGTGTGGCTGGCCGCCTCAGCTTCACGGCAGCGGGCTCCCCCAGGCAGGCAGCGCAGTCGACACCACCACCACGCGTGCCGCCCATCACCCTTCCTCTTCATCCGTCGGCGATGCTCCCCACGCCAGCGGAGTTCCTCTCTTCATGAGGCGGCACCGTGCAGTCGCGCTTTGGGTCACAGTCGCTCGGCTCCCCCCCCGACACTGTGATGCGGATCACTGAGGACTGGGCGCTGAGCGGTTCAGCCTACATCGCCTGTACAGCCTTCGGCCCCTCCCAGCTGTCGCGCACTGTTTTCTGGTCCCGACCGCTCAGCCGCTCGGCTTGTGCAGGTCGGCCGCGGAAGTCTGGCGCCGCATTGGCGACTCACTTCGGGGCATTCTCATTTTCACCGGGCACGACGGCCTGCCCACTGTAGTTAGGGCTTCCGCGCCTCCGTGTGTCTGCCTTTCGAATTATGATCATTTTGTTCTGTGCACGTGCAGGTGCGAGCTGTCTGTCCGCCGACTCTGGCTGGCGGCGAATTGTTTTGCTAATTAGCCTCGCCCGAGGCCCGGACGTCGCCTCCGCTCCCTGACCGTAGTCTCGGGGCCGCTGACCAAAAAAAATATCCCCACCGGCGGTGTGGCTCTGTACGCTCGTTGGCCGACGTTCTCCTGCATGGACTTCGCTTTCTAGTGTTACAGGTTTTACTGCCGTTTGCAGTCTTGTCGGTGATGAGGTTGCCCCTCTTCACTCTTGCGCCGACACGATGTTTTGGCATTTGTGTCGCCTACTTCACGGATGTCGTCTGAGCGTGCCTGTCGGTCTAGTTCGTTTTTGACGGTGCTGTTTGCCTGACTCACACCGAACGATCGACCTCTGCGCGTTTATGGTGGCGCCGCCGCGCCATTTTGGCTGCGTTTACTTGCTGGTCGCCACCGGGATTTCCAACGCCACCGGGCGGGAGTATCGTTTCTGGCTCTCTTTCTGAGTGGCTGCCAGCTCGCTCGCTTCGCTTGCCTTTTCCTGCTGCCTTGTCGCGGCCCGACAAGTGTTTGGACGGCGTTCGATCCGCCTCGCGAGCCTAGTGACCAAAAGTAAACCCACTGGCCCGCTGCTTTTAGGCTTGCTTGACCCTTGCGACGGCGCGCGGCTCTACCGCTTGCGCTAGCGAGCCCAGGACAGAAGAACAAAAAAACAACAACAAAAAAATAATAATAAAAAAAAAAAAAAAAAAAAAAAAAAAAAAAAAAAAAAAAAAAAAAAAAAAAAAAAAAAAAAAAAAAAAAAAAAAAAAAAAAAAAAAAAACGGCGCGCGCCTCCACGTGGATTGCTCCGGAGTGGTTCAGCCTTCTTGGTCAGCCATGTGAGTTTACCCCCGGTGACATGCACGGAGTACGCTGGTTTGCTTGCGCAGCCCCGCGCTTTGCCACGCTCGGTGGCACGACTACCTCTGGCGCCTGGCGCGACAAAGTACAAGTCGTCCTCTTCCCACTGGTCTCGCCTTTGGGATGCCTGCACGCTGGCCGCCTAGCTCTCCTGGCAGCTCTTGCAGCCAGCTTCAGCCCCCGGCGCCACTCAGTTTGCGGCTGCGGCAAAAAAAACTCCACCGGCCCCGGGCTTTGCTCGTCGTTTCTTTCCCGCAGCCGGTGGCATAGCCTGCCCCTGCTAGCCGGCGGTCGACTTGCTTCGCGCGTCCGCGTACCAAAAAGTATCCTTACCAGCCCATCCAGAAACGATGCCCTTCAGCGAGTTGCCAAGCCGGAGCTCGGGATCAGCCTGAGCAGATGAAGGATATCGGAAAAGCCGTCGCTGGCCTTGAGATACGTCAGCTTGTTGGCAGCATATGAGGGACACATTGAAATACGGTGGGGCGTTGGAGAAGGAATGTGCCCTGGAAGCTTAAGACCCTGGAGGATTATTTATCTAATGAGGGCGGCGGTGATATCCATGCCCAATCCACGATTGGAGTTCCACCAGCTTCCAGACTCCGGACTCCTTTTACACTGGTTCCATATCCAATGCCCTCACCGTAATGTTGAATGCCTTTGGGTTTCCCTTGTAGTCCAACTGGGGCCCTCTCGGGGGCCTTACGGGCCCGCTTGGGGCCATCATGGAGTACATCGAGAAGGGGCGGATTCGATTGAGCCTCCCACTCCGTCTGAGCCGGAAAAGTCGCCTTTTGGGGCCATCGCGGGGCGCTTTGAGGTCAATGTTCCAGGCCTTTTTGGTTTCTGACGGGACCCTACTGGGGCTCTCTTACAGGCCCTCTCGGGGTGTCTTCCGGGCCTCCTTTGGGATCCTTTGGGAGGGCATCGAGCAACAACAGGGGTGTATTCGATAAAGTCTCGCCTGAACCAGAAAAGTTGTTTTGGGGGCCCTCTCGGGACGCTCTTGGCTGATCTCGTGACCACCTTGGCGCCCTGGTGGCCCCATCTTGTGGTCTTCTCGGGTGGAGCCACCCTGTGAAACGAAAAGGCGGGAAAGCAAACATCATTGGTCAATGTTTGGTTTTTGAGTGAATTTGGGCCTTTCGTGGACATCCGTGGGAGGCTCCGAGGTCACTTGCAGCCGTCTTGCGGCTGTATTGGATTGGAGGCATGCTTGAAGCCATCCTGAGCCAATCTGGGCAACATTGGAGACCATACTATGGCATCTTGTGCCATCATATTCGCCCAAAAGGCCCGGGGATGCCGATGCAAAACAGCAATCGTTCAAACCGTGCTACAGTTTCCAATGCATTCGCTCAGCTGGTGTACATGTTTATATCCGTAAGGGCTTTGCCCCCTGCCGCCGGCCCCCTCGCTCGGATAATGGGTAATGCAAGAGCGAAATCATGAGGCCTTGGCGCCGCCGTGAAGACGCGTCGGGACTTCACGCGAAGACGATGAGCAATCGGCAAGACAAAGTGAGATTATGATGATATGATTGAGTTCGGTGTTGTATTTCGAGCTTGCTCGCGTATGCTGTGCAAAAAGATCTTCTTCGAAGCATTGAAATGTTGCAAATCCCATATATATATATATATATATATATATATATATATATATATGACCCTGACCCCGCCGATCTGCAAGAGGGGCGCCACCGAATTTCAGAAATGTGGCAAATCCTCAGTGTTTTTGGACCCTGACCCCGGCGATCTGCATGAGGGGTGCCACCGAATTTAAGAAATGTAGCAAATCCCATGTGTTTTGGGACCCTGACCTCGCCGATCTGCGTGAGGGGTGCCGCTGGATTTCAGAAATGTTAGCAAATCCGTCGTGGTTTTGGACCCTGACCCCGCCGATCTGCGTGAGGGGTGCCACCGAATTTCAGAATAGTGGCAAATCCTTTATGTTTTTGGACCCTGGGGTGTCAATTTCGACCCCCCCAGGAATTCAGAGCTCCGATTCGGGCGTGCTAACTAGGTTCCTTCTCGGCTCCCCCCCTCGCGCGGTCCATCAACAAGGAACAGTCAGCAGCAAGAAGCAGAACTGTAACATTGGAAACTGGAAACTGGAAGTGGCGCAGGGAACAGCAAACCTTCGTCCTACAGACTGGTGGCCCCACAAGGGGGCCAGCGGATAGATATAGAAACACGTGTAGGTGTATGTTACGTGTGTACGTACAGGTGCGTATGTATGTATATGTGTATGTATGTTTGTGCGTACACTTGTACACACCCTACATATATAAATTCATTATAGAACTTCTGAAACAGCGGCACCAATTAGCGCGCGCACCCCACCCCCCCACCCCCGTCGAAGCCCGACACTTCGTCTCTTAGGACGCTCTCCGGGCTCCCTTGGACCATCTTAGCGCTTGTGTGGCCCCCTCTCGGGGCTCTTTTGAGCGATCTCTGAGCCATCTTGAGGCCTCAGAAGACCAGTGGCAGCGAGACGATGAAAAGGCACTGATCATTGAAGCATGTATGTGGTTGAAGGATTTGGACTTCTCTGGGTCTCATAGTGAAGGTCGGTGCCTACTTGGTGCCGTTTGGTACGTCACAGTGTAATGTTGTAGTCACTGTTTGCTGCTGCCAGGGTGTAATTGATTTGATCTGAAACAACGTATCGTGCATTTCACAAGTCGAGGTCCAGAGCGCGAGGATAGCAACGGCGGCTCTGAACACTTGTAGCCACGAGTTGGTTTAAAGGCACGTCACGTGGCTGGCGACATGGTCTGTCGTCGGGACCGTCTATTGCATGCTGGCTTTGAAGGCATGTGGTCTACCTCCATTGTCAGTCTTGGCAGTTTTTGCTGCGGGAGGATTCTTAGGCTCATCTGCGATTTTCTGTGACCCGCTGCATTTCTGGTGACCACCGAGTGCGACGCGCCCCTCTCTGCATCCTCTGAGGACGTTAGAGGGCCAAGTGCAGTCGATTGCTTTGGTGTTTTTCCGATTCTCCCTCCGACGTGGCATGTGCGGAGTCTGAGCTGACCCCTAAGAGGTCCGTGGGTTCCGAGCCCAGGCTTACTTATGATGGGGACGGCTTACTTATCATGTGGATTGCACCCCCATCCCAGCCAAGGGATTCGGTGTGGACGCGGGCCCCTCTAGGTGTGCCGAAAATTGTCGCCCAACCCGCCAACCGCGTTGGTTACGTGCCCAGAGTTGCGGCAGCTGGAGTGAGCAGCTAGCCGAACGCAAGCAATATAGCTAATCCCAGCGATGAGTAATGCCTACTTGGAGGCGAGGGCCTGGAGTTCTTGCGAGATCTGTGCGAGGCGAGGCGTTGGGCAAGAGTATGGGCTCACCTGCGGTCCCCACCAAAGTCGTCAGACCAGGGTCCCGGATGTTTCTTTGCATCTCCGAGGGCCTTGGACCCCTGGTGGACCTGCAGAGTGCCGGTTCTGAGCTCCAGGATTGGGGCAGTCAGCCTCCCGAGTGGGCAAGGAAATCTCGGCCCGAAGAGGCCGGACTCATTGTGCGTGAGCGTCCCCTTTGGCCGCTCCCGGGCCCGAGGTTCGACAGCGCGAAGGCGGCGGCCGCAGCTGACCGCACAGAGGCGGCACGCGGGAGGGTCTCGCTGAACAGTTGTGACGGTGTACGGTCCTCATTTTAGTGTGTTTTGGTTTGCAGCATCCAGCGGGAGAGGCATTGAGAGCAGCTCGTAGTGGTAAGACCGACGAGTAGACGATGCATGATGTCCGTGGGTTGTTGGTTTCTCCAAGGTCCTTGGTTTATCCGTCGTTGTCGCCCAAATCTCGGGTCGGTTGCTCATAATGCTGTCATGTGTAGCGTCCACGGTGCCAAGATGTGATACGACAGTGTCACAGGCAAGAAGGCGACGGGGTACGTAAGGGGATTTGGGGGCTGGGGAGGGGAGGAGGAGAATGAAGAAGAGGAGGAGGAGGAGGAGGAGGGCAAGAAGAGGAGGAGGAGGAAGAGGAAAAAGAGCGGGAGCATGAAGAGAACAGGAAAAGCGGCAGGAGGAGGAGGACCAGTGCAAACCCAAGACGCACCAACAATAACGCAATACATCTTCCCTCCAAGCACCCTCTTCACATATCCCTACAAGAGCTTTTGAATTTCATGCAATTTCTGGGCAAACTCAAGCCAGAACATCGCAGCCCTCCAGGGGTGGCGAAGTCGAATCTAGGTCCGCGTAGGACGCCACGCCGCTGGACACCCTAGCAGCCCTTGAAAGTGGCGACAGCATCGCAGATCGCAGCCCCTCAGTGATGGCGAGGTCGAATTTAGGTCCGCGTGGGACGTCATTCCGCTGGGCCTCACCACCAGCCCTTGAAAGGGGCGACAGCCTCGCAGATCGCAGCCCCCCAAAGATGGCGAGGTCTAGTTTAGATTAGCGTGGTACGTCGCTTTGCTGGGCCCCCCAGCAGCCTTTGAAAGTGGCGGCAATTTAAGCATTCGAGCGTGGCGACAGTTCAGACCGCGGCACCCTGGGGATGGCGAGGTTGAAATTTGATCCGCGTGGGACGTCACCCCGCTGGGCCCCCCATCAGCCTTCGACAGTGGGGGCAGCTTCGCAGATCGCAGCCCCCCGAAGGATGGCGAGGTTTCGTTTAGGTCCGCGTGGGACGCCACCCCGCTGGACCCAACAGCAACCCTCGAAACAGGCGACACTGTCGCAGATCGCAGCCACGCCCCCGCCCTCCCCCCCAGGGATAGCGAGGTCACATGTAGGTCCGCGTGGGACGTTACTCCGCTGGACCCCCCAGCAGCCCTCGAAAGTGGCGACAATTCCGCTGATCACATCCCCCCAGGGAACCCCCAGGCAGGACGGTGAGGTAGGAGGCAACGTAGCAGGCAGGCAGGAGGGGAGAGGAGGAGGGAGGCGGGAGGAAGGAGACGCGCGCGCAGTGCTGCATTCAAAACGACAATCCAACACAGAAGGGCTAAGACAAACAATTGTTTGGCAACATGGCTTCCCCGAAAAACTGCACGCGCGCGCTCGTGCGGTGCTCCGGTTTCAATATAGCGCAGGAAGATTGGGCGCACCCTGGTTTGCGACACCACGCCCGCCAACATGCTCGTCAAATGCGGCCACGCGGGCCTCTCGCGCGCGCGTGTCGGAATAATTCAAACGAAGCTGGTCAAATGACACCATGCGGTCCATTCGCGCTTGTGTGCCGCGCGCGCATGTCGAAATCCTTTCAAAACCTTCATCATCGACACATGGACATCATCATCGCCATCATCGTCACAAGCACTGCTACCATCATCCTCGTGTCTGCCGTTGTCGACGTCGCCATGATTCCGCGCCCGCCCGAATCACCGACTCGCATTGAAGTGCCCGCGCGCCAACGCGGCATACGAAATGTGCCGGGAAGTCCCCAGCGGTCAGCGCCACCGCGGTCGCGTTGGTCAAGCCAGATTAGCTGGCCGCTCTGCACGCGAGCCTGCGGGCGCCAGCGCGGCCGCAACGATGCGCCAGCCAACGCCAAGCAGTCATCGCAATCGCCGCCGCATGGGTTTTGCAAACTTAGTTGCGGGTGGGAGGGCAGGATGATTGTGCGAGCAGTGGGATTGACAACATCAAACTCAGCAGGGCGGAGTGCACAACATAGTTCGATTTTTCCACACACACATTGCACAACATAGGTTGTTAGAAACATACTGTTTATTGTGACCACGACGGTGGCGATGACGAGGGGTTCCCCCGAGGGGGGGTAGTCTTCGTGCGAGGGGCCAGCGAAAGGCGCCCCAAGTTCAGAGGATAATCTGGGGGCGCGGCGCGCCGCGAAGGAATGCCCATTCGCCAGATTGACCTCTGGCGCGGGCCCTCCCAGGATCACCCCACCACTGGATTGAAGCGGCTTGCACGCTGGGGGTTGGCACCCCCGCTGCCCCCGAAACTCGCGCACCAAAGGTCGCTCTTGCCAAGGGCCACTGTGTAGCCGAAGGAAAGCCGCGCGCCGCGCCTCCTCTGCGCCCCGGGCCCCCTCGGCGGACCTTCGCAAGGCCAGCGCCCACGAGCAGAGGAGGCCGCCGCTGGCGACGCCGAAGAAGCGCGCGGCGGAGGAGCCTGGAGGCGCGGCGGCGGAGGAGGACGGTGGGGTGGGGAGGTTTCTGATCCATACCCCAGTGAACTGGTCCATTCCCCGGTGGCCCCGGGTAGTGGTCCAGCTTACAGGCGTAACTGTGGCGACTGTTTCGAATGGAGTCGTCCTGGAAAGGTCTGAAAAACAAGCTGGTAGGCTTACGTGCAACCATCCACGTCCCCCAGAAGTCACCGTGGAATGGATCAATTGGTGCGCGTTGTAGTGGTACTAGTACTCGTCGTCGTAGTAGTAGAAGTAGACTAGTACTCGTCGTCGTAGTAGTAGAAGTAGTAGAAGTAGTAGAAATAGCAGCAGCAGTAGTAGTAGTAGTAGTAGTAGTAGTAGTAGTAGTAGTAGTAGTAGTAGTAGTAGTAGTAGTAGTAGTAGTAGTAGTAGTAGTAGTAGTAGTAGTAGTAGTAGTAGTAGTAGTAGTAGTAGTAGTAGTAGTAGTAGTAGTAGTAGTAGTAGTAGTAGTAGTAGTAGTAGTAGTAGTAGTAGTAGTAGTAGTAGTAGTAGTAGTAGTAGTAGTAGTAGTAGTAGTAGTAGTAGTAGTAGTAGTAGTAGAGTAGTAGTAGTATAGTAGTAGTAAGTAAGTAGTAGTAGTAGTAGCAGTCGTAGTAGTAAATCATATAGTCGTAGTAGTAGTAGTATAGCAGTAGTAGTAGTAATAGTAGTAGTAAAAGTAAAAGTAAAAGTAAAAGTAGTAGCGTAGTAGTAGTATTAGTAGTAGTACTAGTACTAGTACTAGTACTAGTACTAGTAGTAGTAGTAGTAGTACTAGTAGTGGTGGTCGTGGTGGTGGTGGTGGTAGTAGTAGTAGACGTAGCAGAGTAGTAGCAGCAGCAGCAGCAGCAGTAGTAGTAGCAGTGGTAGTAGTAGTAGTAGTAGTAGTAGTAGTAGTATCAGTAGGAGTAGTAGTAGTAGTAGTAGTAGTAGTAGTAGTAGTAGTAGTAGTAGTAGTAGTAGTAGTGGTAGTGGTAGTAGTAGCAGTAGCACTAGTAGCAGTAGTAGTAGTAGTAGCAGTAGTAGTAGTAGTAGTAGTTGTTGTATTATAAGTAGCAGTAGTAGTAGTGGTAGTAGTAGTAGTAGCAGTAGTAGTGATAGTAGTAGTAGTAGTAGTAGTAGTAGTAAAAGTGAAAGTAAAAGTAGAAGTAGCAGTAGTTGTAGTAGTAGCAGTAGTAGTAGTAGTAAATGTTGTAGCAATAGAGGAAATTCTGGTAGTAGTAGTAGTAGTAATAGTAGTAGTAGTAGTCGTGGTCGTAGCAGTAGTAGTAGTAGTAGTATGAGGTAGTAGCAGCAGTAGTAGCATATAGTAGTAGTAGTAAGTGTAAACAGAGTAGTAGTAGTAGTGGTAGTGGTAGTGGTAGTAGTAGTAGTAGTAGTAGTAGTAGTAGTAGTAGTAGTAGTCGTAGTCGTAGTCGTAGCCGTAGTGGTAGTAGTAGTAGTAGTAGTAGTAGTAGTAGTAGTAGTAGTAGTAGTAGTAGTAGTAGTAGCAGCAGTAGCAGTACTATCGGTAGTAGTAGTAAGTAGTAGAAGTATAGTAGCGGGAGTAGTAGTAGTAGCAGCAGCAGAGTAGCAGTTAGTAGCGCCGTAACAGTAGTAGAGTAGTAGTATAGTAGTAGTAGTAGGAGTAGTAGTAGCAGTAGTAGTAGTAGGTAATAGTAGCAGTAGTAGTCGTTAGTGGTTATAATAGTATTAGTTTCAGTAGTAG